GGTTTAGGGTTTAGGTTTAAGTTCAGGGTTTGGGGTATAGGTTTTAAAGGGGTGCGGGGTCCGGGTAGGGTTCTGGCTCCGAGGTGTTGCTTTAGCGGATCTTTTGCTTGTCCACAGGGCTGAGAGCTGACGAAGGGTCTGAATGCAACGAGGCTTGCCGAACAGGAAAAGTCTTCGATACACCAGACCCCTAAACCCTAAACCCCTAAACCCAAAGCCCCAAACCCTCAACCCTGAACCCCTAAGCCATAAAGCCCTAAACCCTAAGCCCTAAGCCCGAAACAGAAAGCCCTGGGCCATAAAGCGAAAGCCGTAGTCTGAACCCTAAGGCTTGGGAGGATCCCAAGCTTTTCACCACAGGCCAACAAAGAAGCAAGTTTAGAGTTTAGGGGTTAGGGTTTGGCAAATGGGCCTGCAAGCATCAAAGTCTCTGGGCGCTTTTGCCGTTTGACCCTTTGGTAGTTGAATTGTCAAGACGGGTGTTCAGATAGTATGCTCCTTGAATCCAAGGGCCTTAGAAAGGGCCCCAGTGCCTCATGCATATCCCGAATGAAATCTCGTGCCCATGACTCAAGCCAAAGACAAGAAGTTTCGGTCCAAAGCCGGAAGAGCAAGGAAGAATTCAGCAAGGACCCCATTGGGCCACAGCGCTGCAGTGGCGAAATCTCATGATGCAAACTGCCTATTTGGGATCCCTGGTCACAGCTTCGAGGAAGTTTAGGCAATGAAGTGCAGTAGCCCTGGTAATACCCCTTTTGCGTCCTTCGTCGCGCTTGACTTAGATCTGACCCGCATAGCAAGCCGTCTAAAAACGGTGGGATCCAACGGATCTGCGGCGTCGTACGAAATTTCCCGGAAGCAGCCCGCCCCGGGCCTGAGAGTGTCGACAGCACGGCTACGGCTGTCGCAAGGCAATGAAAGCTCCACCCAACAGGCTGCACAGCACATTCCCGCCTACGAGCGTAGCGGCAGTGATTGCATGTCATCTTCAGCCGACAAGACACTGTAGCACAAATATACTGCAGGTTGGGTCTGCAACCGTGAAGGTGTGCTGCACAGCCGCTGCCGACTGCTCGCCATGACATTGCAATTGTCTGGGTTCTTGTTCAGGGATTTAATTTAAGTTACCATAGTAGGGATCTATAGTAAATAATATGGTTTCCTTATTATGGTAACTTAAATTAAATCCCTTAACAAGAACCCAGTTGTCGACGGCAGCATGTTGAAAGGCTCAATACACCCAACAACGCAGTGATCCTCTTCACAAGCTACCGGAGCTCCTGAGGAAGCTAGGGCGCACCACAGGCACAGACTCAAACCGTCCGAAGGGAGGCAAGTTAGGAAGACCCCCAACAGCCGATACCAGGGAGCACCGAAGCATTCACTAGTCCTGTGCCTCAAGCCCTTCAAAACTCCCGCAACCGTAAAGATCCCAAAGTGTTAGATCCCTCACTCCTGAATGATCCTAAACCCTAAACCAAAACCCTAAACCCTAAACCCTAAACCAAAACCCTAAACCCTAAACCCTATACCCCACAAAGCCGGAACTCGGCCTTTTGAGGCGACGGAAAGCTCGGCCCAAGCACAACGAGGACCTTCGGGGCACGTAGTCTTCGATGGGAGCTGAGGCTGAGGGTTTTGTGATTCCTTGCCACGAAGTCTGAGATTGAGGTTTAGGGTTTAGGGCTTAGGAGTGGGACATGTGCATGGTTGGCATGGTTCATAGCATGACGCGAGATCTGGCGCGGGAGAGCTTTCACGAAGAAGAACAAGAAGGGCACAAGTCCCTTTGGGAGCCGAATCCCATCAGCAGAGACTCTGACTCATGTCGCCACCGCGCTCTTACCCACTACTGACGAGGATGAGCTCTTAGCCATCGAGACGAAGCCAGCAGACTACAGCCATCGACTCAGCTCGAGTGAGACATCTTTGGCATCACAAAAGCAGAAGGTGACGAGGGTTCTTCCATAAGCCGGAGCTGCAGCCTGAATCCACTATGTGTCATGGTCATCATCCGTGTCGTTTTGTCGTTGTCCTTGCGCTTGGCATGGCAGCATGATCGCTAATGTGACTGTTTCAGATCCCAGAGTCGTCAACTGCACGGCTGAGAAGGCGAGCTGCTGCGCGAAGCCACCAAGCTTGAGCTAGATGACTCGCTGGAAGAGCTGAGGCGAGATTACGTCGGTTTTCCTAGGCCGTGAACCCTCACCCTCCTATCCAAATCCAGACAGCTTAGGCAAGATCACAAGTTCTGCAGGCGCATTGTGTTCGGGGAGTTTGAGCATGAAGCTGTCATGAGATGTTGTTACAAGTGCTGCGTGTTTGCATGCAGCTTCCACCGCAGATTTTCCCTGAGCTGGCTTCCAGCGCCATGGTTTCGGAATTTGAGGCTTCGGGACCTGGGTCTAGGATTCATCTTCCGCAGCCACGAGGAAAATCCCCCAGCTTCATTTGTGTATAAATTCGAATTGCCTAAACCTGTAAAACCCGAACCCCTCGTCCCTCAGAAGGCCACAGCAAGGGCTAGCAAGGCACAAAGATCACAAACCATCCAAACTCTCGCAAGCCCTGCTCTTGAGTCTATCCATCCTTGCCCTGGGGCCAACCTGAAACCCAGAATGCTCCATGGCTTCCACCAGGCGCATGATCAAGCGCACCCGCAGCAACATGGACTGCCAGATGAAGGCATTGTTCATCGTAGCAGCTGGGTGTCAGTGACCAGGGATGTTGACATGACAGAAGTGACAGAAGCCTGAGCAAGTTGAAGCAGAAGTCTGTACAGCCTCCATACTGCTGACGCACGGTTTGCCCGAAACCGTAGTCTTCAAGGCGTTGATGCCAGGCTTTAAGGCTTTAGGGACTGCCTTAGTGGTTTAGGGCTTATGGCTGAAGCAGTATTACAGGAAAGTAGATGCACTCAGCCCCCTCATATTGAAGAGGCTGCTACAGCGATGTATTCTCTCTGGATAGGGTCCAAAGCATACTGCCTGTACAGATGTTCGGGAGCCCACCCATCAGGGGAAACTCTGTGACTACACGTCTAGACAACATGTAAGTAAACCGACACATACTCTGTGTGTGTGGCCATACGTGTATGTTTGTTTTTGTATGTATGCATGTGCGAACGTACGTATGTCTGTATGTATGTATTTATAGATGTATGCATGTATGCGTGGGTGTATGTATGCGTGCATGTATGCATGTATGTATGTATGTATGTATGTATGTATGTATGTAAATACGCTAATAACATATGTACATGTAGTTACACATGGATTGTCGTGTATTTAGTTATTCTTTATTTATATGTGCGTAATGTGCGTGTATATATATATATAGATCAAACATATGTATGTGTATATATATATATGCATGCATATGTATACGTATATGTATATGTACATATGTATGTATGTATGTATGTATGTATGTACGTATGTATGTATGTATGTATGTATGTATGTGTATGTATGAGTGCACATTGTATGTGTGTGTGTGATGATCTCATCATTTTTCATCTGTTTATTGGTTTGTCTATTCATGCTTCTACTTCTATACGCAGGTATACATTCAAAGAACGTAATCTCGTGATGTCTGCATGCTGAGAAAAAACATCATTCATAACCCGAGTCGAACCAGCTGTGACCTGAACATAGACAACGTATACAACCATGACCAAATATGTAAGCCCATATGCAACCGCAAACTTTCACAGACCATCCGTTCTGCGCATGCCTCATCACCTGTCGCTGGTTCAACGTTGCTAAAAAATGCGTGTTATTAGTATATATATATATGTATATATACATAAGCATTTACATGTATGTATATATATATATACACATATATATATATATATATATTGGGGAGAGAGAGAGAGACTTACTTGTGTGTGTGTGTGTCTATATGTGTATCTGAATTTGCTTCGAGGGGTGCACCCCTCGAAGCGTGCTCTTTTGCTACAGCTTCAGCATGTTCTAGCGGTTCCGATAGAGTGAAGTCGAGGCAAAAAGAAGGAGCCCGAACAAAAGCACGGGTCATGAGCATCGCGAGAAGTCAGGTGTTGGATGGTTTCATTTCGGACGTCAACCACCTCAAAGGAAATGCAAGGCCCGATCCATGGCTTTTGAGCATGAGGGTTGTGCATCTTCGGAGTGGGCTGCACAGACAACCAGCACTTCCTTGCATCTCGTGCTGAGTTTTAAGGTTCGGGAAACGGCACCTAAACAACGCTGCTAGCTTTGGCCTTACCAGGCTTGTTCTCACAAACCCGAGCAAGGTAACTGCACGCAGTCCATCTACGCTATTTGCGAAATTGGCTTGTCATTCTGAGATTCCAGGGTCTGCCGGACGCTAAATCGAAGAGACACCGGGCTTCTGATAAGTGGAAGCCAGAGGCTTTCTCGGCCACGCGAGCGGTTTCCACTGGCACAGACTGGGTGTCTGTGGGGCTCTCACCTGGGTTGTGTTCTGAGGGGTGGGCCCCACATTAATCCGACACCAGGACCATTGTTCGTCGCTTTATAGCTACCTTCACCTTGAATCTCCACCTGGACGCCAAATTTAGTGGAATGCTGTTGCTTGGGGTTTGGGGATTAAGGCTACTCCAACTGAGCTTTCTTAGGGGAACCACTATGATGGGTTCTCGAAAGCCACGGTATCGCAGAGAGACCAGCCCCGAAAACAGAAGCCTTGAATACGAAATCTTCCAAAGCCTTCGAGCCGCCAGCCTACCCACACCATCTCACACCTCGCGACTCCTGCAAAGGATCTTAAAAGGCACTTCCCTTCGTGCATGAATCCCAGCAGGAGTCCAAAACCAGCTTGAGAAAGCGGAACCCTACCATCTCTAAGCCCTAAACCCTAATATAAGGTTTAGGGTTTAGGGTTTAGGGTGTAGGGTTTAGGGTCCGTAATAATTACATGTACTAATTTGGGGGTTCCTTATTATGAAGATAGTATAGTATACCCCCGAAACCCTATTTCTAGTTATTACGGCCCCTAAACCCTAAACCCTTATAGTAGCCTGTATAGCAGCCCTTATAGTAACCCTTTTGAGAACCCTTAAAGCCTATGTTCCCTTATAGAAACCCTTTCTGAAGAACCCTTAAACCCTTATAGTAGCCCTTATAGTAACCTTTTTTAAGAACCCGTAAACCCCTATAGTAACCCTTTTGCAAGAACCCGCAAACCCTTATAGTAGCACTTATAGAAAGTCTTTTAAGAACCCTTAAACCCTTATAGTAGCCCTTATAGTAATCCTTTCTTAAGAACCGCTAAACCATCATAGTAGCCCTTATAGTAACCCTTTCTTAAGAACCCGTAAGCCCTTATAGTAGCCCTTATAGTAACCCTTTCTCAAGAACCCTCAAACCCTAAACCCTTAACCCTAAACCCTAAACCCTAGATCCTATAAGCCCCTAAGAATCCCTTACACCCTATGTTCACTGAGAGGAACTTCGAAGGCGACTCCACGCCGGCGCCGGCTGCTCATGTCCGGGTTTTGGGATTCACGGGCTTAGGGTTTCGGGTTTAGGGGTTTCGGGTTTAGGGGTTTAGGGCTTAAGGGTTTAAGGGTTTAGGGTTTAGGGTTTAGGGTGAGGGGATTGTTGGGTAAAATCGCGTAGGACTCCCAAAAGCAAAATTCTGAAAGCTTGTGACTTCGAAGTTTCGCCTCCCGACATCTGCAAGCGTTCTTGAGATCTGCCAGTGACTTAGAGAGTTGAAGCGGGGATCGCTCCGTGATAGCTCGTCTTTGTGGTAAGACTAGACTTTTGAGCCAGTTGCAATAATATAGGTACCTATACTATTTTGGGGGTTCCTTATTATAATTATAGTATAACTTATCCCAAAACCCTATTCTCATTATTAAGGCCCCTACAATAGTGGGCTCCACATCTAGAGGCCCTGAGCGGTATTTTCCATGGCTTCGAAGGCTTCCTCGCTGTTGGAATGCTGCTTGGGTAGGGCTTGGAGCTGCGTGTTCTATGAGTTGCAGATCTGTTCCGGTGCAAGTGCCCTAAACCCTAAACCGATATACTACTTAAAGGTTCATGGGACTTAGTAAGTAGGGTTATAATTAGGGTAATTAACTATACTTATAACCCCAATTCAGGGACTTATAACCTTACTTACTAGGTCCCATGATCCTCCAAGTAGTATACCCTAAACCCTAAACCCTAAACCCTAAACCCTAACCCCGAATCGCTGCGCGCACGCACGACTCAGAGTCCCTTCCTGTTCTCTTAGGGCCCAATGTAGTGCCCTTGGGTTTAGGGTTTAGGGTTTAGGGTTTCGGGTTTAGGGTTTAGGGTTTAGGGTTTAGGGCCCAAGGGCACTACATGCAAGCACTTGCCAAGGTTACCCCCCAGTTTCGAGGCACAAGCGGCTTTGGGGCTGTTTGCGGTTGCCGATGGGAGGATTCGAGATTTTCAGGGGCGCAAAAGCCGGGGTGCCAGGCAGGCAATAGTTTTTCCCAAGGCTTGGTTGCCTGCTGTACGGACCATAGGGTCAGACAGGCAATAGCGAGAAACTCAATAGGAGTTTTCACAGTTGGGTTCCTTTTGGGGTCCTTTTTATAAGGGTGCCGTACTATATTGGGGACCCAAAAAGGGACCCTAATTTAGAGAATTACCCAATAGAAGCAGAGCCAGCCCTCTGTTGCTTGAAGCTCTCGGCCCGGACAGCTACTTAAAGGATCATGGGACTTAGTAAGTAGAGTTATAATTAGGGTAACCATACTTATAACCCCAATTAAGGGACTTATAACCTTACTTACTAAGTCCCATGATCCTTTAAGTACTACCCGATGGCTTGAGCCCCAGGCCTCGAGCTCTTTTGCCCTTACAAGCCTCGATGCGAAACCGTCTATGCTGCACCCTTTCCTTCAGCGAAATGGGACTTTCCGAAAATTTGGGTACCTTATTTTGGGGTCCTTATAATAAGGATCCTATTATTTAGGGTACTATATTAGGGTCCCCTATTTTCGGAAACCCCCAAATCACCTCCTACCGCCAAGCCCAAGAGGCCTTCTTTGGGATTTGAGGATGTGAGTTTGTGTCTCAGGACGGATGAAGACCCAGAGACTCCAATACTCGTTAATTAAGGAATATTCCTTAAATTATAGTAGGATCCTTAATATGATTTAAGGTATATTCCTTAATTAAGGGATATTGGAGTCTCTGGGACCATGCCATGAGCTCGAAGGGAGCCCCACGTTTGAAACGTCTCGCTGGGACAAGACCGTCCCTGGCTAAAATCCGAACATCTTGTAGTATCCAACCCCGTAAACCCTGCAAGAAATCTCAACGGACGCACCAATCCCCCTTTGAGGTTTAGGGTATTAATCCTAAACCCTAAAACCCTAAACCCCTAAACCCCTAAACCCCTAAACCCCTAAACCCTAGACCCTTTAGGGTTCGCACCACCTCAGCATCCCCAAAGCAACCCAGCCACTGCCAAGCCCCTGGAGGCCCAACGCCCGGCCCTAAAGGCGCCTCCTTTTGTGATTTCCTTGTTTGGACTTTCGGTTTAGGGGCTTTAGGGGTTTAGGGTTTAGGGTTTAGGGTTTAGCAAGGGGGTGTACCTTATTTTGGGGGTTCTTATAATAAGGATCCTACTATTTAGGCTACATCAGGGCACTATTTTCCGGGTCGCCCTATTTTCGGAAAGGGCTTTAGGCTTAAAGACGTAGCAACACTCATCCCCTATAGCTCCTCGGTTTCGGATGCAGGTCACTTTTCGAAGAGTTCCCTAGGGCCTAGACTCTGGTGTTGGCGGGGGTTTAGGGTTTAGGGTTTAGGGTTCAGGGTTTAGGGTTTGGGGTTTAGGGGTTTAGGGTTTAGGGGTTTAGGGCTAAGGGTTTGGGGTTTAGGGTTTAGGGGTTTGGGGTTTAGGGTTTGGGGGTTTAGGGGTGTAGGGTTCTAGGGCAGGATGCGTTCACGATTTTTGGGCTGACACATTTGCTGGCATCATACCAGCCCGAGCGACTGAAAAACTTCTGTGCTGCGGGCGTGCGTAGGGTTGTGATTCGCGAGTTAATCGGAATTGGCTTTGCCTGTGCTCTCCTACACAATTCAGTAGCGTTGTTTATTGCCGTGGCTGCTCTACTATGTCATGGCATCTTGTATGTATGTGCTTGCGTAGCCATTTCCCCTTGGGGAGCGTCGTCCTGCGTAGGGTTTCTGCAGGGTAAGATCAGCGTAGGTGTCCGCGCGCAGCCAGAACAGAACTGTAGCAGGATGGACTAGCTGCGCGGATGGTTGCACATCAGTAGTAATGCTACAAATCCTCCCCCCCCCGCTCAACAGTTGTCGCGAAAGCTCTTCCTGGATAGCTCCTGCACAAAACATGTGAAAGGTCGTTAGTTGTTTGCAGCACCTAGCTCGAGCTCTTGTCGGGCAAGTCTCCTTGATGTGAATAAATGACACCCATGTCTCACCATATGCAGGCATGCATGCATGTATCTGTAGCGTCCTCGTTTGGGTTCAACAGTACGTCATTAAACACCGAGCATCCGAAAGAGTTTCCGAACACTAGCTCTGTCTCAATATCCGAAACCCTGGACTTATCACTCTGAGCCCCCAAACCCCTAAACCCTAAAATCCTAAACCCCTTAACCCTAAGCCCTGAA